CGGGGACTGGGCGTTATGTTCACATGACTCCAGTCCTCCATCAGCTTCACTGACTTCCCATTGAAGTCTGGGCCCAATTCAAGGTGTTGGTGATGACCTATAAAGCCCTAAACGGCTTGGGTCCTGGTTACCTGAAGGAGGGCTTACATCCATATCCGCCCGCCCGCCCCTTGAGATCTGTGGGAGAAGCCCTTCTCCGGGAACCCTCCGTGAAAGAAATTAGGAGGGTAGGTACTCGGAGGAGGGCTTTCTCTGCAGTGGAGCCCAATCTATGGAATGCGCTCCCCAGAGAGATCCGCCTGGCGCCGTTGTTATTTGTTTTTCGGCGCCAGGCGAAGACCTTTTTATTTAAACGTCATTTTAATTGTTAATATTATTTGCTTATTTTATCTGGCCAGGGCGACTTCTTTTATATTGTTAATTTGTTGTTTGTATTATATTTTAATTTTATGTTGTGAGCCGCCCCGAGGCTTCGGCGAATGGGGCAGCATAGAAATGTTTTAATAAATAAAATAATAAATAAATAAATTCACCCTCTTGACCACCGCATCACACTGCTGACTCATGTTTAGCCTGCTGTCAACCAGCACCCCAAGGTCCCTTTCACAAGTGCTGCTCTCCAGCCACTTGTCCCCTAACCTGTACTTATGACACCCATTCCTATACCCCAAGTGCAAGACCTTGCACTTATCCACACTGAATGCCATCCTGTTGTATCCTGCCCACTTCCATAGTCTGTCCAGATCCTTTTGGATCTGGAGTGCCTGCTCCTCAGTTGTGGCCACTGCCCCAGTGTTAGTATCGTCTGCAAATTTGATCAGCAGACTGTTCACCCCTCCTTTCATATCATTTATGAAAAGATTAAACAGGATCGGTCACGGGACAGAGCCCTGGGGGACCCTGCTTGTCACTGGCCACCATCCTGATGATTCCCCACTAATGGTTACCCTCTGCTTTCGGTCAGTCAATCATGCCCTAATCCATCGGACAGTGCTTTGGTCTATCCCAAAACTCCTCAGTTTCTCCACCAGGATATCATGGGGCACTTTGTCAAAGGCCTTGCTGAAATCCAGGTAAACCACATCGACTGCATCCCCTCCATCTAGCCACCTCCAAACCTTGTTGTAGAATTTCACAAGGTCTGCCTGGCAGGACCTGTTATTGCGGAACCCATGTTGTGTGGCTGTCAGCCTCCCTTCCTTATCTAGCATCACTAGATCTCGCTCTAGTATTTATTTATTTAAAACATTTTTATGCCGCCCCCATCACAACGAAGCCTCGGGACGGCTCACAACAGAAACAAAATACATAAATAACAATATAACAATAAAAAATTTATTTAAAAACCTCTGGTGCATCTCGGCTAAAAATTTAAAATCTTATAAGTACAAATAATTTAACAATTAAAATAAGTTTTAAATAAAAAGGTCTTAGCCTGGCACTGAAAAACAAATAACGACAGCGCCAGGCAGACCTCTCTGTGGAGCGCATTCCATAGATGGGGCGCCACCGCAGAGAAAGCCCTCCTCCGGGTACTCACCCTCCTAATATCATTCACAGAGGGTTCCCAGAGAAGGGCATCTATTGCTGATCTCAAGGGGCGGGAGGGCATATATGGACACAAGCGTTCCTTTAGTATGAGCCTTTCCATTTTTTTCCTACAATGGACATAAGGTTAACTGGTCTGTAATTCCCCATGACCCTTCTACTACCCTTTTTGAAAATTGGGACCACGGACACCACCCTGCAGTCCTCTGGAACTTCACCCGTTCTCCATGAGGCCTCAAAATTGGAGGCCAGTGTCCCTGAGAGAACCCCTGCCAACCTCGAAGTACTCTCGGGTTTCATCCATCAGGGCCTGGCGCCTTTGTAACATCCAATGCCCTGAGGAGCCCCTCGACTTCTAGGGGGTGACTGTAATCTATGCCCCTAAGTCCCCGGCCTCATCTAATCTCCTATGTGGATATCCCCCATCCTGCTTTGGGGAGAGCACAGAGGCAAAGTAGTCATTTAGCATCTGTGCCTGTTCCCTCGTATCAGTCACTGGATCTCCTTCCTCCTTATTTAGCAGTCCCACTACTTGTCTCCCCTTCCTCTTGCTATTTATATGCTGAAAGAAGCCCTTTTTGTTGCTCTTGATATTCTTGGCAAGTCTCAGCTCTTAGCCTTGCGAAGAATCCTTCTGCAACGGGCCTCTTCCTCCTGGTCTACCCTTTTGTCTATTTGCCCCAGTACCCATTCCCTTCACTCTCCTTCGCCTCCCCACCTTACTAACTAGAGGTATAGTCAAGGCTTGCACCTCCAAAACCTCCCTTTTGAGTGCTATCCACTCCTCCTCAACTCGCTTACCTTCCAGTAACCTATCCCAGGAGACTTTCCCCAGTCTGGCCTTCAGTTGGCCAAAGTTGGCCCTCTTGAAGTCCCAGCTTCTAGTGCTCGACCTGCTGCACGTCCCCATTCCCCTGATCTCAAAGCAAAGGATAGAGTGATCACTCGCATCCAGAGATCCCCTAATTTGTACCTCATCTATCAGCTCCTCCCTGTTGGTCAAGACCAACTCAAGGATGTTCCTCCTCTCGTCGCCTCTTGTACCCTCTGTGTGCAAAACCCTCCCTCTATAGCTTCTAGGAAGCGACGTGACCTGGCTTTCAGCCCTGAGTGAGTCTCCCAAGTAATATCCGGGAAAATTGAAATCTCCCTTAATTACTGTGTCCCTCCCCTGAGATATCCTTAGAATCTGGTCTGTCAGGACATCATCCACGGTCTCAATTTGACCAGGAGGGTGATAACATACTCCCACTGTCAGGTCCCTTTCCCAGTCAAAACCCCTAAGTTTCACCCAGACTGCCTCTACCAATTCCCCATCCAAACTGCATTCTATCTCACTGCATCCTATCACTTCCCTGACATATAAAGCTACACTCCTACCCCTCTTTCCCTTCCTGTCCTTTCTATACAGGTGATATTCCTCTATGTTTGCATTCCAGCCTTGCCTTTCATTCCACCAAGTTTCTGTGATCCCCACCAGGTCATACCCCCCTATTCCCAGGAGAGCTTCAAGCTCTTCCTGCTTATTACCCATGCTCCTATCATTGGTGTACATGCACCTCAACTCCTTTCCCACCGCTTCCTTTCCTTTGAGTTCCCAGCCTTCTCCTTCCTCCCATCTTCCCTGATACCAGCCCCCTGTTTGTAGGAGTCCTGTCAGTCCCTGCAGTACCTCTAAAATCCTGGTCCCAGAGCCCTGCTCCTGTCCCCACACTTGTCCAGTGCTGACAAGTTTCTGGGGGGCCTGAACACCCCTGCCCAGCTCAGTATGTCTTCTGGTCAAAGCTCGATAGAGCATCTCCACAGACCTTTTTCTCATCCTCGTGAGGTGCAACCCGTCCCTTGCCAGAAGTCCACTGGCAAGAAACCAGATGCCATGGTTGAGGAACCCAAAGTGTTCCTTCTGGCACCACACCCTAACCCAGTCATTCACCTTGGCGACCCTCCTATCCCAAATCCCTGGAATGGTAAGACAGATAAGAAGGCCACTTTGGCCTTAAGGTCCCTGAGTTTCTTCCCCAAGGCCTCGAAGTCCACGGTGATCCTGCCCACACCTTCCCTGGCTACGTCATTTGTGCCCACATGAATCACCAGAAGCAGCTGGTGACCCCAAGAGTGAACAAGACACTCCACTCTATCCCTCACATGCCGGATGCGTGCGCCCAGCAGGCAACAGACCTCCCTCAGCTCAAGGTCAGGGCAGCACAATGCCGCCCCAGTGGCCCTTAGCAGGGAGTCCCCGACGACGATCACCCACTGCCATCTCTTCCCGGTGGTGGTAGGCGGCCATGCCCTGGCCCTTGCCTCTCTTGAGTGGCCCTCTTGCCGCTTGTGGTTCTAGGCTGGGGATCCTGCTGGTCCCCCAAGGCCTCATCAGCCCTAGCCTCTCCAAGCAGGGAGAACCTGTTTCCCAGCTCCAGATTGGCACCCGGAGGAGGAGGCTGTGCTGGCCACCTCCTCCTGTGGGTGATGTGCCTCCATGTCTTCCTGGCTGTTCCTCCCATGGCCCCTCCCTCAACCCTCTGTCTAGAGGGGGACTTCTTCTGGGGGTGCCTGGAGAGCTCTCTCGGCCCTCAGGCACCTCCCTCCTCCTCTAGGAGGGTCACCAACTTGCACCGAGGGCAAGTGTATCCCTGTCTCTCCTGAGGGAGAAGGGTGAACATGTCGCAGTTGTCACAGCAGACAGCAACACCTGTGATTCCTGCCACAGCCATCTCCTGGCCTGCCATTGGGAACCCCTCAGAGATCCTACCTTGGTCCCCTGCCTTGTCTGTCCTGCGCTACTCCTCACTTGCCCAGTTCTCCCAGACAAAAACACACACACAAGGACAAAATAAAAGTTTAAATTAGAAAAAAAACAACCCTGCTCCCAGGGAAGGGAGTCCCCAGGCACCCCAGGCCACAGCTAAGGGACCCAGACAAGGGACAACGCCTTATAAACCTCTCAGGCCAGTTGCTCCGCCACTCTGCTTCCTCCTGGCCTCTCTGGCCCACCTCCCTTCCTCTCCGCTGCTCCTGTCCCCCTGCTCCTCTGCCCAGCTCCTACCTTGTGTTCACCAGTCCCCTGGCCACGCTCAGCACTGTCCCAGCCTCTGCCTCTGCTGCTCTGCCAAGAGGCAAGAGCCAAAAGAATTTTCAAAGTAACTAACAGCACAATTCTAGACATATTTGAATGTAAGTCCCACTGACTTGAATGCTCACCTCTTAGTAATTGTGCTTAGAATTGCAGTCTAAGAAGTAGAAATACTGTATGTATTTGATCAAATATAGTTGGCTGGACTCAAGCAACATAAGAACCCATGTTCTGATAAGCCAGGGTTCAACAAAAACTCAACACTCAACTGTTGAGTATGGGCTATTGTGTAGTCTTTTTTTCAAACAATGACTGGATTCAGACACAAACAAAAACCCAATAAAAGGCTTTTAAACAAAAGAACTAAATAAATAACATTTAAATAATTTGTGACCAAACTGCTCCCATAATGTGAGCTCATTGTACATACAAGTTGCACAGAAAAACGGCAGTCTATCCTACTTGACTGGCCTCATATTGGATCCTAACTTCAACCCAGAAAAAATACTTTTGTCTCTCCAGCCTACCTGGTGAGACATTTCCATGTATGTGTATGGGTGGGAAGATTAGGAATGGAGCTGTGAAACTAATACACACCAGTTCTATCCATATTGGATCTAGTTTGGCTCTTAGGATGCATGAAAATAATCACTTTTTTAAATGCCCCCAATTTTTGATTTGCCTGCCAACCCCTCAAAATAAATAAGATTTAGATATAAGAACACATTCTGATAACATGGAAAAATGGATTCATACAAGTTTGGATAACGTGATCTACAACCCATAAGAACCCTAGATGTTTTTAACTCGGTAGGAAACTCTTGGGATTAAAGTGTTTTTGTACCATGAAATGCCCTCACGGGTTTGTTTTTATAACTGCACCAAATTAATTTTTCTCTTACAGAATACAGTGCACTGGCATTTGAACTACTATTGGTTTTAAAGTCTTTGCTTATATTAAGGCAATACATTTAACTCCATGGTTTTACACAAACAGGTACTTAAATTACTTAGACAGTATTACAGATAGTGGAAAAAACATGATTACATTTAAACCTGGTTGAACGTATCAGGAACAGTGGGAAATTTAAACCCAATTGAATATTTTGGTAGTTATTTCTCAAGGTTGCAAGATCCGGCAATTAAAGTGAGCCTATAGAAAGGTTTGCCCATCACATTAACCACCCTGTGAATAAGCTATACAGCAACCCATGACATACTCAGTAAAGGATTCTGCTCACTATGGGTTGTTTTCCCCCAAAATGTGATTCATGTAGAGGAAACACTATTCAGCCAAAGTCAAAGTTAATTCAACAGTATATATTTGAAGCATAAGCTACTCTTCTGTAGCAATAGGTGGCATGGAAATACTAAACTTTGCTTGAAGTATATCCTATATTACTTTAGAACATGGGTCCTCAAACTACGGCCCGCAGGCCGGATACAGCCCGCCATGCTCATTTATCCGGCCTGCCTCAGAACTTTTGGACTCACTCAGAGAAAACAATCTCTGAGCAAGTCCAAAAGCTATGAGCCAGCGCAGGCTTTTTTTGAAACTGCACGCGCACTGGCTCATCTGCACCACCCCCCCCCCCGCCCATTGCATGCATATACAGAGCAGGAATATGGAGCAGAAAACAGAAGAGAGTTGGGTGGAAGAGAGAGAGACAAAGACACTTAAAACGGATTGAAGGTAAGCAAAGTATAACTTTTAAAATCTATTTTTAATTATGTGAGCCACATCCCCAGGCTGTGGGCCAAGCCTTGTCAAGGCCAGGGGCAGCCGCTCAACACTGCCCCCAGGCTCAAAGAGGAAGCCGCAGCTTGTGGTGGAGGTGCAGGAGCCACAGCCTTCAATGGGCAAGCCGCCATCGCCATCGAGCGGCTGCCCCCAGGCTCAGCAGGAGCAGAGCAATTATTTTTTATTTTTAAAAATTTAATTAAGTTTTTATTTTTATTAACTTTTAATTTATTTTAATTTTAATTAATTTTAATGTGCAGTGTGCATAGGAATTCATTCATATTTTTTCAAACTATATTCCGGCCCCCCACAACAGTCTGAGGGACAGTGAACTGGCCCCCTGTTTAAAAAGTCTGAGGACCCCTGCTTTAGAAAGTGAACCTAAAACTACCAGGAAAAAGAAGCAGCCAATGCACAGAATTAAGATGCTCAAAATGAAGCTCTTTGAATGTACAAGTTGAATCTTCCACAAATGTGAAGTGTTCCTGTTCAGGGTTGCAAAAAAGGAAACCATGGTCTCTTTCAGGATATTTAATTCCAATCCTCTCCTGTTTTTCTGTTCACCCATCAGCACTACTGGTACAAATATATAGTTTTAGACCCTGGACTAAATAATCTTATGGGGCTCCATTTAGATGGTCATGTATGTTACTTCATGGTGAAACACATCACTAACATTCCTTATCTTCTCTCTCTGCCATTCTATGCCTTACAACTGCTTCTATATTCTTGATACAAGAAAGCAAAGAACTATTTGCCAACCCTGATAAAAAAAAAGAAATGCACTGGTTTTGCATTTTAAAATTCATGGTACCATAACAGCCCTTTCCATAGTAGCCTCATACCCCTGGGATAAGTTCTCACAGGGGAGACTATGAGCCTCCATTATTGAAGGCTTCCAAGATAGTTCTGAAAACTTATTTTATTCCAGTTTCTAATGAATGTTTTATCAGCTCCAGTTATCTTCCGTAAAGTTTATGTTATGCTGGTATTTGCTGTTTTAATAATATTTTCTGATCCTGCTGTGTTGGCTAAATAAGGATTGGTATCCTGAAAACTGAGTTTGCTAATATTGTAGGGTACAATCCCTAAGCAAAGGAGTCTGCTTTCCTAGTTCTTCAAGGCCTTAATTTCACAAGAATTTTCAGTATAAAAATCAAGAAGGGAAAATTATACAAATAATAAAAACTAGCATTCAGTGGGAGTTCCTTTGGAATAAATATACAAATATACTTAGGATTGCATTGTTCACAAACTGACCCCTCCTACAGATGTTTACACTCAAACCACTTCTAGATAACTGAAACATGTATAATTCTGATTAAATATTTAATTTAAAAACACTCACAAATTCACAGAAGCAATAATGTGTGTCTATTTTCTCAAGAATATAGTAATAAGGAATATCTAACTCATACCTCTCTTTTATCTTTATTCTCTTTGTCCTCAGCATCTCTTTGCCAAACACTTTTCATGTCAAAATCAAAAGGCCCCCTTTTAGGCTCATAGCTGGGAGACTGATCAGTCTTAAACTCCTCATGAATCATGTAGTCTGGCATGGTTGTAACCCGAGATCTGAAATAGAAGGTTTACATAGATTAACAACAACAATCCAGATTCATGGATGTAATGCAACATGTTCTTTATTTCGACATTCGTCAACACCCGTGCCAGTCAAAAGAAATTAGCAGTGTCTATAAAGATAGTGAATACTTACTTAGACTCATCAGCTGCTGCTGGCTTGCTATGCTGCAAGTACCATTCAGGTGCACCATAAGACCCCAGGGAAACTTTTCGCGGAGTAGGTGTAAAATGCCTCAACAAATCTTAAGTCAAGGATAGTTAGAGAGACAAAAATTTAAGGACTGTAAATATTTTAAGTGAAAACTGAATAACATGATTTTCTGCACACTAAGAAAACAAAGAAGCAATTTCAAATATGCTTGTATTCTAATGTTCTCCATAAGAAAGGCCAAACTGTATGAGAAGTGCAGACCTGTAACTGACTTTCTTATCATTTTAAATTTCGGGGGAAAGCAACAGACTGGGACCTTACTGGGGAGCTGGTCACTTTCTTACTATGATTTCACGATGAAAATTCTCTTCTAAGGCTGCTTTTTGAAATGTTAACCCCAATAGCAGCTTTAAAGAAGGGAGGGATTTTCCAAACTTTAAATAGTGAAGAAAGCCTAATGTTGCCATTAGGCTCATCTAGCCTGACCTGAAGTTCTCTGGATAGTCATTTAGGTAGGAGTCCCCTGGGCTGCCAGGGCCCTGGACCTAGTTGCAGCACTGCCCTCACTCTAATATTCACTACTTCATTTCTCAGGCACTGGCATGTAAAACAATCACTTGCAATGAAATGTCACAGCATGGAGCACTCCTGCTCTTTGTTCCAGTGAGTCCACTGTGCTCTTCCAGAAATTTCCTTTCTATTCCCACTCCCACCCAATTTTATGAGTTTTCCAATAATCCACCATTCTGTACCCACTGGCACGATGCTTACTGGCATTTTTTTTTCACCAGTTTTTGTATTTCTGCAAACCTCAGGGTTCTCCAAGTGTGCCAATAACTCTTTCTCTCATGGTTGTTGTTGTCTGTCTTGAAGATCCAAAATAGAATATAAGGTGACAACAGTAATAATGGTACAGAAATTTGAAGTGATAGTTGTGAAGTAGCCAGCAGATTTTACTATGCTGAAAGCACTATTTTACAACTCCAGATATGTCAGATAACTGGTACTGAGATTCAGTTCAGTTCAATCTGAAAACATGCTATTGAACAATACCATAATTTGAGGTTGTCAGTAATGTATTCAAAGTACAGTAACTTCAATACTCTATAGAAGATAAAGCTCACATATGCAGAAAAGGAGGTTCTAGTTTAGCATTTTTCATGTTATTGCAATAGGTTATAAAACCACAGCTCTAATGTAATCCTCTCTACCAGTTCTGAATATATGACTACAGGTTCAGGGTTTATAAGATAAAGGCATGGAGAGAACAAACTAGCTGTATTAGCTTGAAGCATGGAAAGATCAAATTTTGTGAGCGTTAAAATAAGACGCAGAAAGATTGAAGAGTATGGGGTACAGAACCATATTTCTCCTTGCATATTCTATTCTTATGCTAATGTCCTAAAGAATCTTTCAGTAGTCTCTGGAATATCTATATATATTAGGCATAACCTTCTAAAAATAGCCATGGTAGTCATATGAATTTAATCACCAGGTCGGCCTCCTTGTTTTGCCAGCTTTACATATTCCGAGTCAGTGTCTTTGATCCATTTCCTTCGCCCTCCAAAAGTAATATCACTGTGAGGATCTCCAAAATCCCCAAGGCCTGGGATCTGGGATGAGGGTTGTTGCGGAACTTCAGAATTAACAGGTTCCTCTGATCGTTTTAGTGGCACATGATAATACCAGTCTGTACTGACAAGAAAAAGTACTCATAAAGATATGCACTTCTGATACTCTTTGCATGAAAAGCATTGCATAAGCATAAACAGTATACTTGCCACATGGTGCATATCGGTTTGAGGGTCCTCTGGGCTCTTTATTTGTGTTTCTCATACCTGAACAGTAGGGAAGGAAGGTTTTTTTTAATGATGTATGTAACCAGATGACATACAGTAACTGCTAAAGTAGAATGAGAGATAAAATGGCTTTTCTCCTAGTTAAGGTAGGTTCAAATAGTAGATGGGCTGCTGGATTCTCCAACTACATATGTACACACATGATTATAAGCAGCATGCTTTTGTATAAAACTTTGCTCCAAACTTCAGAGCATTGTGATGCTATTAAATTTTATTTTAGGATTGGGCTGAAAAATGAGTTAGCAGTTTTGTGCAATTTTTAAAACCAATTCCCAAGTTCCACTCTCAAGTTTGAAATTAACAAAGCAAAAATACATACAGTCCCTTAAGCAGTAAGCATAACTAATCTGTGTCACATGATGCCGAGTATGCACTCATATCTAAGAAATTGCTAGACCCTATGAAGTTCAGATTCTTTGGAAGAATCCCAGTAATCAGTATGCCCTGTGTGGCTGACCACAAAATGGGCAAGTTTCCTGATGGTCTCTATCAAATATCTGTCTATCCTCACTGTATTCATTTGAGTCATAAACTGCCCTTTTCAGCTCCCCCTAGGTACAATCTGTGGAGCCAGGAAACAAGATGCTGTCAAGATGTGCCTATAACAGATACATGGCAAGCAGATATTTAGCAGGTATGCCATTTTAAATCACTGTACAAGTAAAGGCAAAATTTGTAGAATTTCTGCCTGTTAAAAGGCAGAAGAGATGAGGGGCAGAAAAAAAATCACATGTTTCCTGTCACCTCCCTCATCCCATCAGCACATACCACTAAAAAGTGCTGTCTTTTCGAATTTGATACCTTCAGAATGAGATTGGTTAGCAAAGCCAGTGAGTTCAGATCTCCACTTTGGCCATGAAACTGTCTTTGGACCAGCAGTCTACCCTACCTTGCAGGGGTGTTGTGAGGATAAACAAGGTTTATCTCCTCCCCAACGCACGCTCACGGCGAAACCTTGAGCGCCACAAAGGGAGGGGCGGAGGTGCCCTGAATAACAATTTTTTAAAAGATAGTTAATGGTGTGAAGAGGAACAGGGCGGCCTTCTCGCCCTACGTGGATGTCCTAACGGGTATCCAAGAAGTCTACGAGGAGAGCACACACAGGCACACAAACGGACACGCACCGCCGCCGCCAGCCGTCGGGGTTCTTCGCCGCGGCTGGGACTGCACAGGAGCCGAAAGAGCCTCTCGCCCCGTTAGCGGCTTCCCACCGGCCGAAAAGTTCGAACCGAAACACAACGCACCGAGGAGGAGGAGGCGGCGGCCTTCGGCGCAGCAGCCGTTACTACAAACACTACTGGTCTCCAGGGCAGCAGGAACTGATGCTTGTGCGCGCGTCGCGTCCAAGAAGCGAAGTGAGCGGTGATTGAAGAGCTAGCGGGAGGAGGAGGGATCTAGTTTGTCCCCCTCCAGCAAATCAGAAGGCGTCACCGCCTCTCGAGGTAAGTCTTAGCCAATGGAATGCACTCCACCTTCTTGAGGAGGCGATGCTTACGGCTTACCAAATCGCTGCCCTTGCCTGCCGCTCTCCTTTGAGTTAGGCTAAGCGAGTGACCATCTGTTTTTCTCGCTCCGAACCTAAGGCGTATTTATTATCAATTCTCGAAAATGTTTAGGATTCGTGGTAGGAGAGGGACGGGAAAACAGCCCGCGTTTAGGACAGGGTCTGGTACTACCTGTTGCTTTCCAGACTGCTTCCCATCAGCTCCACATACATGACCAATGATGGGGCTTATGGGAGCTGTAATGCGGTTTTTATATTATTGTATTACCTGATGCTGTGCCATTTGATCTTTTAATTTACTTGTTGCTTGTTGTAAACTGTCCCGAGACGTCAGTAGATGGACGGTCTAGAAAAGCTATAGACAGACAGACAAAAAATTTGGTGACCGGGTTGCCTACCCTGGCTTCCGGCCTGAAGTTCACTGGATGACCCGGGCCTTGCAGGTCTCTCCCTTGGTGGTTCTGAGGTTAAAATGGAAGCCCCTCCCTACACAGCTATCATCTCAGAAAACTGCCAGAGTACGGAAGGGTGGGTGGGGAATTGGTGTTTCTACCGCACAATCCTAAACGAGTTTAGGCAGAAAAGGGATTGTAGCCTTCCCCTCCCTTGTTGGGGCATTCTGGGAGTAGGAGGCCAATTTTTCCTACTCTTGCATAGGATTTTGGCAAGGAGGCAAGAGGCAAATTTCCCATCCTGTGAAATGGTGACTATAAATAGCATTCCTTCTCACAGGAGGCATACTCTATGTGCTACAAGTTACCACAGTGAAGATTTAGTATCTAATGATTAGAATAAACTGAGTTGCCTAGGAATGAGTGCAGAAACACAAGAAAAGGCACTTTTGACTGAATTACTCCTAATGCACATGGCATTCACGCCTTCAGGGGCTTGTCTGACAGGAAGAAATACTGGATTATATTTTGGGGTGTTGCCTTTTACTTCCCTGGACTGAAAGGGTGATTTAAGGTACAATCCTACTTATGCTTAGGCAGAAAAAATTTAGACAACTCTCAGCACCCCACGTGAGACTTCCCAGATTTTAGGGAAGAGAAAAAGATGAAACAAATAGTTTGTTCACTCAGCTGTTCATTGCCCTGGCATCATGGCTTCCCTATTGATCAAAACTGAGGAGTGGATGAAGGGATGGCTCTGATGCTGTGGAAGCTAGAAATACAGACTACATGATAGTCCTGCCCCTTATTTCATATGTTATTCTTCTGGCTAATCATACCATCAGTAATTAATCAATATGAAATAAGTAAAAAGATCAGGAGACATTCCCATAATATAAGAAAAGAAATTTCTGAACAGACCCTTTTTGTTTTGATCTCTTCCATTGAGAATATAGAAATTCTATCCCAACAGCTCATCTTTCAAATATGACTCCTAAATAATTGCATGGTCCAACATATCTTTCATTTACACCCTATTTGTTATTATTTCTGTACTGCCCCATTACACATTAATAGCTATTATACACAATTCAACATGCAACAATTCATTGTTATTTCATCTATGCATCATTTTGTCCTCATGCTGTTTCAGCGTCAACTGGTAAGCACATAATAAGGACAGAGACCCAAAGGCCTCAGGGAGTATATATCCATCCAAAAACACTGAAGGAGCAAGTAATGGCTGTAACAATGGCAACTTGGACTCTGATACCCTACAACTTTTTGAGAGGTATGCACATTTTTCAACATACTGCATTAATTTAATATTCAGAAGTCATAAAATTGAATATGGTGAAATGTTCTCATTTTGCCAAATAGTGAAATCTTTTCAGAGCTTTTTGTTTCTTCATATAATGCCTTGCATGAGTATTTACCCTCCCCTTTTCTACATTTTTGTTACTGTTTAGAATTGACACGCATTTAATTGGTAGTTAATATGAGATACTCAACCCTGTGCTGCTTCAAAATATTTTCATTGTAGGACAGAAGTTGAACAAACAAAAACATACTGATACTAGTTAGTTGCATAAGTAATTACTCTCTTCCCCTCCCCAGTCAATACTTGTAGAAGCACCTTTCGCAGTAATTAGAGCTGTGAATCCTTTGGGGCAAGTCTCACTCAGCTTTGTACATCTGGATCCTGCAGTGTTTGCACATTATTCCTGGCACCTCTCCTGCTCCAGCTCTGTCAGGTGGGATGTGGACTGTTTGTGAACAGCAACTTTAAAGTCTTGCCATAGATTCCTAGTTGGATTGAGATGTGGGCTTTGACTAGGCAATTCCAAAACATTTAAGTTCTTGTTCTTCAACCATTCCATTGTGTTGGCAGGAAGCAAGAGATTCTTCTTGATTTGAAAAGCAGTAAGCACACCAGTGTGCTAGAAAAAAAGATTTATTTAAACAGAGACAAATACAACAAAGATACAACAGAGAATGCGTCTATGACACCCTTTCAGCAGGCCCCCGTCTGCTCTTGGGAACCCCAAAACAAATGATCATGGGTGCCTGCTTTGATCAGTCTGCACAGCACTGTTGTGTAGTTCAGCCTATGCTGAGGTTCAACTTATATAGCTATAACTACCAAGGTTACACCTGGTACTGATTATGGGTGAAGGTGGGAATGGATGATAAAGTGCCTGTACAAGGTCAGCCGTTATGAATATCTGACGTGTCAGAAATGAAGATTACTCTTCATCCTCCTCTATCTCTCATGTCAAGCTGATGCCTGATTTACATTGATTAATCTTAAAGCAAAAGCACATAGTAGAGTCATTGAAGTAGCAACCAAAATAGGAAGAGTTCGGTCTTTGTCTGATACTGAGCATAAGATGGAGGAACTGTGGCATAGTGCTAGCACCTCAAAATCACAATAGTGTTCTTCATGAATGCCAATACACCAGTGTAACTTTTGCTGTAGATTTAGAACTGTTGTCTTGCTGGAAGGTGAACTTCTACCCATCCTGGGGCTCCAATAGTTTTTTGATACAAAAGTAGCAAATATACCATCTAAATAATAACATCAAAATAAAACACAATACAAAACAATTCATGGAAAAGAAAAGTAGACATACTTTTGTGGAACAGTTCACCTGCCTAGATGTACATAAAGTGTAATCCAGAGATTCAGGTACATATATATTGAATGGATTTTTAAAATGATTTTACAGTTGGATCCAGGTTTAGGATACATTCCTGTTGATTGTACCCACAATTGGCATAAGCTGCTGAACTTGGAGGCTTCTGTATATTCATTGGGAATTGGGAGGAGTGGTGGAGATGATCTCCACCTCCCTGTACTTCATGGAGTTAAATGCATCTAATTGAGGTGCATCAGGTGGGAGAACGACAGCTGGAGCCCTCTCAGGATAGCTTGTATCCTAGAGGCCTCTGTCTCCTCCCTACCCCCTTCCTCATTCTCAAAGCTTACTTTCTGGAGGCAGCCTCTAGCTGTGAGTTGGAGGAGGGGGATCAGAGCAGAGGTTCCCAGCTTTCAGGTCAGAGCTGTGTCTCCAACCTCATGTCTGGGAATCCAAATTATCCTATGCCACCCCCTATCCAATGGTATCTAGGTTCTATGGAATCTCTCTTGCATGAGGGAAGATCTGTTGGAAACAGTGATGGAAAATTAGTCATGACTGATTTAAGCCCCATTTATTTTACTGGATCTCCTCTGAGTCCAACCCAAGTAGACAAGCTCATATCCTACCAAGGATGCCTCACCATGATACCTACATAGAGCTCTGTGAACAGAAGCAGAATATTTCTAAGTTGGATAGGCTGAGGACAATCATGGATGACCTTCAAAATGCCTTATGCCTCAGGAGGCATGGTGCTGGACAATGTTGGGCACAAAATGCTGGACTAGCTGGCCTTAGGAGTGGTCCACCAAGGCAGTTTGTATAGTGTGGTCCACTGAGGCAGCTTGTAATATATACCTTATTGATCTAAAGCCTTTTTCATTTTTTAGTTTGTCCCAAGGACAAAAGGCATCTTGCAGCTGTACAGATAGTCACCCACTATCAGTCAGAAACAGAAAAATGCACCCAGGAGTAAGTGAAATTGTTATCACTTAGTTAATTATAATAGGCTGGATTCAGATTCCATCATACTTAAAACAGACTAGCTGAAATGAGAATAAAGTAAATCTTATCTGGCATATTCTAATTATAACTCAAGCCTTGAATAATATCATTTTTCATTTTTGATGATTTGTTATCAGAACATACCAGCCACATTGTATACGTTTTCAGATATTTCATCGCTGCTTATTTATTTTTAAAAACTGATTCTACACAGCCATGTTGACAAGCTTAAAATCTGTCTGGTGAAACACAGTTTCTTTTATTTTAAAATAGGTTTGGAAAGCACAAAATGTGATAGCTATTTTTAAAGTGTGTTGGTCTGCTATCAGTTACATATTTTATTATTTTCTCCAAATCTGTGGGATTCAAACTGTGAGCTACCCATCTGTATAATGCAATGAGTTGGTAGTGTTCCTTGGGCTATTTGATATCAAATTATGTTCCTTGGTCACTGAAGTGCCTGATCCCAATGTAATGAGGCTGAAAGGCAAATAAATGCTGATTTGAATGGCTTTTCAGTGGAGGCATGGTTTTAAAAGGGAAAAAAATAATTTTGTAGTAATTACAGTGAAATGAACAAAAGAAAAACAACAAAGGTGTCACACTTAAAAATCAAGGCTAACAACTTTTCATAGTTACCTAAGGTATTTTGAATGCCTTATATTAGGGATCCCCAACCTCTTTGGACTGGTAAATATATTTAAAATTTTGAGAAAAATATTATGAGCATATGCACAAAATTACTACCATGGTAGGTGTGTCCAGTCACAAAACAGGCATTTCCCAGAAGGCAAACTGGTGTGATTAAAAGTAACTTTTCTCAGGACCTAAGTACAAGGGTGCGGGGGGGGGGGGGTGAACTTTGAAACACAGGAACCACCATTTGAAATCCACAATTTTCTGCTTTAATACCCATTTCCAAGTAGGCCAACTTAGAAGGACCAGAGGCAAGTACATTGCCCAAGCAACTGAGTATTAGACAGAGCGAAGCCTCTGCCCTATGTGCCAAATCACATATTTGCTTTCAAAAATGTGATTTTTTATGATACTTTTCAAGTATCATTAAAAATCTATTTATGAAGGGAAACAGATGTTTCTTAGACAGCATGTATATCAGTGAATCTCAAATAGTGTTCCATATGGAATATTACAAATGTGTAATATTATATCTGTGTAATAGCCTCACCCTGTAAAAGAAACCACTGAATGTTGTCAAAACATATCTTTCAAAGAAGTACTAACTGTATTGCACCACCACCAATTAGCCAAACTAGTCAATCCCTTATTAAAGGGATATTGCAGTTTCCAGCAGACATGAAACAACACTGTTTGCTGAATAAAAGACATCCTAAGGCTCATAGATATGACAGATGGATATCAAAGTTGTAATCCAATGGTTAGGTATTTTGTGGTGGTACACACAACGGTTTCTCCTATTTCTAAATGTTCTCATGGGTCCAGAAAGTTGTGAGGATCCCTGGCATAGAATGTCTCTTGACATTGTGATTCTTTTTATCGTATCAATTTAGATACCAGGAAGTACTTCCTGACAGTTAGGACCCCCAGGGTATGGAATGGGCTTCCACGGAAGGTGGTTGAGGCCCCATCGGTGCGGGTGTTCAAGGATAGGCTAGACATGCACATGGTAGGATGTCGTGAGCAGAGCTGGCTGGAGCCAGGGGTCAGACTAGATGGCTCAGGAGGCCCCTTCTGACTCACTCTGTTTCTATGTTTCAATGTTTCTATATTCTTATGTGTATTTTCCAGAAAGTATAATAAGGCTCATCTGTAATTTGATGGTGCTCATCACAATAATGCCATTTTGCTACTCAAAAAGTCTACTGCAATTTAGCAAGGTAAACAAGGTCGAGAATCTTTTTCAAATCAAGAATTGAAAAATAGAATTATTGAGATTAAATGCTTCAAAGTGGGACCCACCTGAAAATGATCTCCACTTTTTGAGCCTTACTTTTCCTCTCTACAACTGCAAATGTAAAAATATCATACATCACTTGTAAATATGCTTGGTATTAACATTTCATTTTTTATTGTTAACTTTAACATAGGTATATAACAGCAGCATGTATCTGAAAACAATTTAAGTATGATATATTCAGAGGGAGGCCCTTAAAGGGTCCTTACAATAAAACTGGTATGTCATCACCCAATGAAAGGGAAAAAGACTCTGGAAATGAAAAAAAGAAGCTGCCTTGTGTAAGCCTCCCAAGAACACATTGGCACCTACCAACTACCAGAGTAGCAAACCGATCTTATAATGCAGTTTTAAGCTAATCTAAATGCAACATTTATCAAATGATTAGATCTTGCATATTTTCTTTCTCAAGAATAGATTGGGATCTCCTCTTTATTGCAGGAGATCCCAATGTAGATAAGGCATATGGTATGGATTCAGGAGGTGTTTTTAGTAAAACACTGCTTTTTAGTAAGGTTCTTTTTAGGATTTTCTTTGTGCAATGAATGATTAAAGAGAATCCGAATAAAGCAAAACAAAAGCAAGCAAAGCCAATGTATTATAAAAGATCATAAAACATGCACTCCTCCTGCTGCTGGAAACTATGATAACTTAGCAAGATAAAATTGTCAACAAACATGATCCTCTAACAGTCTGGCCCGCAGCACCTGTCCAGCTCAGTCTGTTGTAAGAATTTCTGCTTTGGGAAGGTCCCAGCAAATCACATACTCTCCTGTTGATTCCTCCCATCTTGGACATACCTAGTCCTTCAGGAGTGTTTCACACTGGAAGAATGCTAGCCCTAGCAATTGGTAGGGAACCAGTCTAGAAGATAACTGTCATCTTCACTACCCTGACTAATCACAAGTACCCTTAACCTTGTGATATTTCTAAAGTCTTCTCTACCAGCCTCAGGCTATGACAGCATCTGCAGAATTCGCCCTGGGAAGTAGTATAGCTTTCCAACTCCCCAACGGCACCCTAGGCAGAGGCAAGAGAATTCGTGTTCCATTACCTCCTCAAGATAACTGTGGTCTTCCACAATTCCACTACAGCAGACTTAAACCTTCTTTAAGGGACTTTGCCCTCACTGCAGTTCTGATGGAGGGCAGCAGGGGGCATGCCCACTGTTTGCTTTGGTAAGGAAGCTTCCTCAGCTTCCACTAAAGCAGCTGCTTGTACCAGCACTCATCTGTCTGTATTGTGTGCGCCTTGTGCTACACAAGTAACACTAACACTTCCCATGCTGCAGCTGCAATTTGGTTCCTTGTAAGGGAACAAATGCTGGTGACAGACTTCCACTAGTGCAAAGGAAGACTATGAGGGATTTTCTCTCTCATAGTTGCCTCCTATCGGGAAACTGGTCCTTCACTAGGCAATCCCACCTGTTGTTGGGATTGAGAAGGGCAGTTGCTCTTGGCATGCAGTCCCAAGGCACACTAATCTGGACTTGGGAAGAGGAGGAAGAGTGGAGGGATGCTTAGAATGTGGGCCTGTTTCAGACCTTGAGATGAGAGAAGCAGAGAGGTGCTTATCTCAAGGCCAGATTCCCCAGGTGCTCAGGCAGACTTTGAGAAGAAACAAGATGCACAGCTATCGGGAGGGGGTTTGGGAGTCTTTCAGAGACAGATGAAGCAGGTACAGCCCCTTGACTCCATGGCACAGCATCAGGAGAGAAGGGCTATCCAATTAGAAGGTTGGCATGCAGAGAAAGGGTGTGTTCATTTCCAAAAGGCCCTTCCTGAAAGGACGAGGCCCAAACATACTGAAAAGGAGAGTTCCTAGAAGTAAATACTAGATTGGGTTCAACAAACTGCTCTGTGTATGCTCAGGGATTCATTTTGGGTGTTTGTTCTTCTGGAAAACACTTCGATCAACAAAAAGCATTTTGCCAGAAAAGTCTGTGGCTTTGAATGTACCAAGGGTGAAAACCTAGCTCATAACACCTACTGGGTTCCTTGTTTAAGAGAAAAACTTGTACTTCAGGCCCTAAGGAACTATTTTCACTCTAGCTCAAAAGTGCCACAAATTAACCCTTCTCTGCTGCCAACATTTATCTCAGAATACTTTTAAAACTCTAAGCAGCTTGGTAAAGAGGGCCTAGGCATGAGATAGACACCAACATGCAAGATTAGATGCACTATTGAACAATTTCTGAAAGGGACATTGTGTGCATACTTGCGTTTTTAAAAGAATGCTTGCTAACATTTCTTAGGAGATAGTGTACCTGGATGGTTGGGGCATGCTGGGAGGTGTAAACATGCATAGGATTGTCCGGAGGAAATCATCCTATGGCCCCTAGACATTGTCTGAGAGACCATAGGATAATTCAGATTCCAAGTTTAGAGGCAACACTCTGACCTCGAAGCTGAAAATCAGAGTTCCAGTCTCCATCCCTGCCCCACTTACAGTTGGTGTAGAAAGAACCACACAAAGTGCTTTCTGAGCTTGGAAAGGGTTAAAGGGCATATTTTGGGGGGCGGGGGAGTAGAGTGTATGAACTAACATCTTTATTTGCTGCATGGGTATAGGATGGAGATTTTTAAATATCAGCGTCCGTAGAGGAAATACAGATAATGAGTTTGGTTAGACTTTAGAGGAATATATCTTTACACAGATTTTTGCTCTTCCTAGCCCTGTCGTTTATGCTGGAGTGATAGTAACAAAGGTGAAAACTCACTCAATATTGCTGATCGGCTTTGCCATGCCCAAACCTGTGAAAGGGATTTCTGAGTGCTAAGAACACTTAAGGTGGGAGAGATGAGTCAAATCCTCACCACACTAGCCTTCAATCCTGATCAAGAAGGGTTGCAGAATCTCCCCTTCGACAGCGGCTATTTTACCGCGGATCGTCTAAGCCACCTGCCCGTTCCTCGTTGAAAAAATAACTCTGCCAAATCCACAGCAAGCAAAATACAGAATCGCTCATAGCTGTAATCTACGAACACTCGTACAGCTGTAAGTCTCATTGCATTGCACGAGAGAGAGAGAAGGGCGGAGAGAAGCCGGGAATTGAGTCTAGGCTGCTCCCGTAGAGGTAGGTAGTTCTCAGCAAAAATCTGAGAAAGTTGTACGATTTCCGGCGATTTGCGGTATGGAGGTCGCTCATGAGGGCGTTCGATTGTCTCGGTTCGGCTTCTTTGTAGATCCCCGGGCAACCGATGCAAGCAAACAGGATACTCCAGAAATTGAGGGAGTGGAGGAAGTAATCAAAAGCCGTGGTGGAAGAGTGGCTGGCCTCTATCTCTGACCCGCACATGGCGGCCATTAAATGGAAACCGGAAGTGATATCGGCTTGGGTGCGTTAACTTTACAGTGCTCGAGGCGAAGCGGGGAGGAAGCATGGCGCTGGCAGGTTTGTTGTCGGTGTAGTTTCTGCCATGCGATTCAGAGCGAAGATTGTGGACATCGGATGTCTCAATCATTTTACTCGTGAGTCGACCATATGATAGTCTTCCCTGGGCTGAAAGAAGGGACAGAGAGGCGGAAAGAGTTGCCAAAGCTTCTCCCTGTCTGATTTTTTAATAGTTGCCTGACTTTGAAAGCCTTTAAAGAGGGGAAGCTTTTCTTAATGAAATTTTGTCTGACGAGTAGCTGCTTAGAAGTATCGGAGGCATGTGCCCCATAATGAGGTGGTAGAGTGGGCTGTACCATTTCAGAGGAGTGTGTGGGGATCGAGCTTTTGAATGGTCCTTTATGTTCAAAAAGCAAGGCCAAATGCTGCAAGTGGAAAACACAGGTACTGACCTAGAACCATTCTTTTTAATCTACTTTTGCACTTTTGTTCTTATCTTCTTCTTAACGGAAGAGGAGCGTTCAAATCTGACACTACCACAGCGGCAGGTTGAAGTGGTATTGTCTGGCACCCCGCCTCTAGTGTCTTCATGTGTAGGCTTGGACTGATGGTTACGGGACAAAGCTCCTGCCCCTTCGGAAAGGCAAGCGAGAGAGAGGACTCCCACCCCCTCCACTCCAGGCTGAGCCACGAGTATCTGAAGTATTTGTAAAAGAAATTGCAAAACCTGCTAACCCTAAACAAAATTACCAGGATGTTTTATAAATTTTGCCAAAAATGTTCTAGTAAGAGAGGAGCCCTGGTAGTGTTTCAGCAACGTGGTTGATTTTGAGGGAAGCGCCATCCTGCTTGCCCATTAGGCCATTTCACAGTAATCCCACTTTTCCCTCTCTACATATAGACTCCTTTCACAGTGGAGTTTTGCATTGGTTTTTGAGTTGCAGCGCTCTGTGTAAAGGCATCCTTGCCTCTTCCTTTCTGAGGAATTAGGAGGTTGCATTCTAAAATACTATCTTTGTAGGTGTGATAAATACAATTGCCAAACTAGCCAAGACCTGTACCCTTCGCCTCACAGTGGACAAGCTTTACTTTATCCTCAGTGACAAAGTGGCCAATGGAGGTGTTAGCATGTGGTGCGAGCTCAGCCAGGTAAGAACCAGAGAGCTGAAACTGTCAGTGGTAAATTCTGAAACAGCTTGATTTAAGATAAAGACTTGTTAATAAGTTGCTATTATACTATCCATATTGTAGACAAGGTGGGTTGAAAGGATAGCACAGGGCCTGAAATGGGGAGTGCAGAGCCTCAGGTTCGGATGTGACCCTCGAGGCTTCGCTGGCTGCACCCCATTTGCCCCCAGCCATTGATTGGTCTTTTCCCCACTCTTGTGCAGTGGGGAAAAGCTTGAAATGTCTTGCAAAGTTATTGTCAGTAAGAATTTTAAGCTAAGAATTTTAAGAATGAAAGTATAATTCATTTGTGCATCAAATTTCTATACTCCAATGCCATTTTCCAAGGCACAAGCAATGGACAGGTTTCCAAGGTTTGCAGTGGGGCTGAGGTTGACAGTGAGCTTTTGGTTGCAGTCAGACTTCAACCTGAACTATTGAGTCGAACAATGGTACTCACAGCCCCTTGGTTGTGTGTACTCGATCCTGCAGTTTTCTAAAGCTCTGAGGTAGGAATCTTTCCATCCCTGCAACATGACATCTTGTCACTCAGGGATGCGGAATATGTGGCCATGCAGATGCTGTTGTACTGCAGCTGTCATCAGGCCTAGCTAGCACTAGCAATGCTGCAAGATGATGGGCAATGCATTCTAGTGACATCTGCAGGGTCACATGTTCCCTGTCCTCAGTATAAGTATCCATGCAGGGGCTGATGTATGTATGGCACCAAACATGTGCAAAGCATATGCTCAGGCAATGAGTTCCATCTCTGTTGCTCCCATTCTTGACTGCTCGGCCAAGCACAAAATGTGAATAGGCCTTGAAAGTTTTGAACAGCTATTAGACCTACGGTTGGGTTAGACCTGCTACTGCCATCTTTCAGGCCACATGGTATTCTTCATCGAGCAGAGGGGTTCAGCGAAACATAATGAAGATGTTCCTCTTGCACCTTTGCTGGGATGAGCAACACAAGCTAGTTTACATAATCTGCTACCTCCTCTCTATTGTAGTTTCACAATAAACCTGTGAGATAAGTGAGGCTGAGGGTCAATGAGTGGGCAAGTAGGGGCTAGAATCTGGATCCTCCCAGTCCAACACTGTACCCACTACACTATGCTGTCTGCAAATGCATTTTGTTGTGGCTTTTTTCTTTGGAGCATCTGCATATGATGAAGAATTGTGTGTAATATGGTAGGGAGATTCAGTATACTTTTTGCACCGTAAGATAGTGGGTACAAGTTCAAGTTTGGATGAGTCTGAAGGAAGATAAAACTGGGTTGTTTTCTCTGTATATTAATATTAGAAGCTCTAGCTTATTTTCATTTGCAGCTCTTCCTTTTCAGGGCAAAGAAGGAACTCAAGCTACCAAAACTGAGTTTTGAATTAAATCCAAAATTGGTGGCATTAAATCCTGTCATCCTCACCATTTTTCAAACACTTGGTTATTTTAGGGGAACTTCTTTGATGAGTTCCAGATGGAAGGAGTCACTGCAGAAAGCAATGAAATCTATTTGGAGCTGATCTCTGAAAACTTCTCCAGAGCTTTAAAAACAGCACAGAATGCCAAAGCTGTGAAAATCAAGTTGACAAATAAACTGTGCCCCTGCCTCACTGTAGCTGTGGAACTGGTGAGTGGAAACATCTCCTAGGCAGAGTGAGAAATCTCTCTCCCTCTTCAGAATGTAAGAACAGCCATACTGGATCAGACCAGGGTTCCAGCTAGTCCAACATTTTGTTCACACAGTGGTCAACCAGCTACCCATGACAAACCCATAAGCAAGGCATGGTTCAAACCACACACTCCCACCAATTTTCTCCAGCCATATGCCACTTCTGATACTGGAGGTAACATACAGCCATCAGGACTAGTAGCTATTGATGGCCTTACCCTCCATGAATTTGTCTGTCCCTGTTTAAAGCCATCCAGATTGGTGGCTATCACTTCCTTTGATACAAATGAACACAGTCAAAGCAGTGTGTGAAAAAGTGTGTCCTTTCATCTCTCCTAACTCTCCCACCAATCAGCTTCTTAGGATGACCCCTAGGTTCCAGTATTACGGAAGACGGAAAGTATCTCCCATCTCACTTTCTCCCTACTATGTGTAATTATGTACACCTCTATCAGGTATCCCCTTACTCATCTTTTTTCTAAGCTAAGGATCCAGCTGTTGTAACCTGTTCTTATAGGGGAGTTGCTCCAGCCCAGTGTTGGCCTTGACGTTATCAGTGATAGTCTCATCACTCCTTTTTTGCATGTCTTATTGTTTGCTTGCATCTCCTCCTTGTGCAAGCTTGTGCTCCCTTTTGTTTTCTTCCTTTTGGCAAGACTAACATTTTCTAAAGGACGTCTCCTTTTCTCTCATAATTTCTTTGACATTGTTCATTAAGCATGCTGGACTTAGTGCTACCTTTCATTTTCCATCTCAGAAACACCCTTAGCACTCTGGACTAGAGGACGATCACATCTTCCTAGTTTTAAATTTACTTTGGAAACCATTGTTGTTGCTCTTGGTGCTTCTGTAGAAGAGCTTGCCCTATTTTGGTTTTCTATGTCCCATTTGGTGTGCAGAGGAACACCTCTTCCACCACACCCTTCCCACTGTTTATCTTCAGCAATGACTATATTCCACTGGTCATGTCCATTCCACCGTGCTTCTGTAGCAGCAGTATATCTAGGTTCTACTTTAAACCAGGTGCTCCAAACTCTCCTGTTTTGTGCCCCTCTCCAGCCAGCTTATATAACAACTCCCTTGAAACATAGGCCTCTTTGAGTGGATATCACGTTTTACCATAGGCTTATGGCCCATTTCCTCCTAGCAACTTGAATTTGGCTTCCAGCTCCTAACAACTATTTATTTGCATATTTATAGTATTTATACCTGTCCTTTCTTCCTTTCAAGGAACACAAGGCAATGCGTTTTGTTTGTTTGTTTGATTTATAGCCTGCCTTTTTTCTTACAACAAACTCAAAGTGGATTACATAATGTTTTTTCTCCTTTTCTCAATCCTATCCCCACAACAACAACCTTGTGAGGGTGGTTGGGCTTAGAGTCTGTGACTGGCCCAAAGTCACTCTGTTCACTCAATGGCTGAGTGGGGAGTAGAACCCAGGTCCCTGGTTATAGGGAGTCCAGAAGTTGGTAAGTTCATTATCTTTTTCTGAACTCCGTTTATGTTCTCTCCATATGAAATTTCACTAAGACATTTAGTAGTTACACATTTTCTACACATGTCATTGTACTCAATCAGTTGGATAAAAGGTGTTCAAAAACAAGATGGTGCAACTTGTGAGGAAATAAAATGACACTCAGTAGGAGAGATTGGGCCTTTCTAACTCTCAAACTATAATCCTATACAGTCTGCTCAGAAACAGGTTTTGTTGAGTTTAGTGGGAACTACATCCAGCTATGGGTAATAGTTATTTCCTTATTATCACATTTACATCCCAATCTTTCCCCCCTTGCAAGAAATGCAGAATAGCTTAGATGACCCTCCTCTCCATTTTATCCTTACAGCAGTGATATGAGGTAGGTGAGGCCGAGAGTCAGTGAATGGCCCAAAGTCACTCCAGTGATCTTCCTGAGTGAATGGGGACTTGAATCCAGATCTCGCAAGTTCCAGTTCAGGCTTCTAACCACTGTACTGGACTAGCTTTCCCCTGGGTATAGAATTGTAACCGCCATCTTGCATTTTGGTTACAACGTTCAATTTTATTTCTTCTCTCCAGCCATCCTTGTCAAGCAGTAGCCGCATTGTAACTCATGACATTCCTGTGGGCGTTATCCCAAGAAAGCTGTGGAATGACTTCAGAGAGCCCAGTGTGCCAGATTTTGATGTAAGTGGCTTTTACTTTCCTCTGGATTTAATTTCCCCTTTTGAGCACTCTTCCATAGACTTTCAGACATGATTGTGTATCACAGGGGTGTAGAACTTCAGTCCTGGGACCAAATGCAGCATGCTGAGAGACCATTCTGGCTCTCAGAAATGCTGCATATTGTCTTTCCCCTTGGGCAGGGATTCCGCACCCATGGACCAGTACACAGCTGGCTCTTCCCTGGTAGCCACCCATCACAACAGCACCACAGCCAAGAGCCTTCAATGGCAATCTTAGCAATTGTGCAGGATCACATGGGAGAAGGTGCTCCTTCGGGTAAACATAAAAGTGTCCTGGGAGCACAAGCCAGGGGCAGCTTGAGTTGGCATGGAAGCTGCTCATGCAAGTTTCACTTGCAGCAAATGTTTTCTCTTTACTTTATTGTTACTGTAAGAATGGTGACTGTTTGTGCAAAATCTTTTTTCTTTTTTTGCATTCAGTGAATGTGTTTTATCATTTGAGATTGTTTGGAGGGGAAGATGCATTTCTTCATTCGCAGCATCCTTGTGGTTGACTTCACTTGCACTCCTCTGCACAGTTGCTCATTCTTTCTACTTGCAGGCCTGACGAGCGCACTGCTCTCGCTTGCACTGTTGCCTGTGCCCATGGACACACAGCACATTGACGCTTGCCTGCCTGTATTGCTACTGCCCTCTCTCTCCTAGCCACCCCTTCAGGCTCCCTTTTGACAAATCTAAATGATCTGCACTTTAGTGCAGTATCTCATTTTTCATTGTTTAACTGTAGCCTTGCCCTAACCATTACCCAAAGCTGACATTGACTTTGGAAATAAATATTGATATACAATAATTAATTTTAATACAATACATGCTTACTGATTTATTTATTGGATTCATTTATTGAATTTATATCCTAACCTTTTTCTGTTAATGAACTCAAGGCAACTTCCATCTTGCTCTCAGTCTTATTCTCACAACAACCACCTGGTGAAGTAGGTTGGGCTGAAAGTCTGTGACTGGGCCAAAGTCACCCAGCTGCTTCCATAGCTGAGTGGAAAATAGAACTCAGAGTCCCAGGCCCACACTGTTAACCACTGCACCACACTGGCTCCCAAATTACTGTATACATTTCTAAAGTATACAATTACTCATTGAATTTCTGTCCAGTGTCACTGAATTTTCCTATGATATTTTAAAGGAGAAAGTTCTGAACAGTTTCAAATATATTGCAGCTCCTTTGATTATCATTCTGACCTATTTTAATTCTTTTTTATAAATTAACAATGAAACTGGTTTCATCTTTTGATTTTTCTTTCCATATATCCCAGCACTAAAACAAAAGGGTCTGTATTACCCATATTACTGTCACTAGAAAAAAGGTGATCACTCCTATTCAAAAATTAAATTTTTAAACATGTAGATCTGACTGCATTGGTCTCACATGATCAACAGCACATAAGAAACAAACTGCCCAGGATAGTAAATAGGTCTCTTTAAGGCCACAGTATGGTGTGTTTATGTCAAACTCCCCCACCCCTTTTAGCTGCTGTTTGTATTTGGAAAGAAAAATCAAAAAATTGAGAGAGAGAGAGATTTAGCATCATGTGTTTTTGACCCTAACTTTGCTTCATTTTCCATGGGGTAAGGTGTCACAATAAGACTTTATTTATTTCAAATATTTTCATACTGTTCATCAGGCAATTGGCTCTCTGAAATAATTTACAATAAAATAAATCTACCAAAACCCATAATCCCAACCAAGAAATTTACACATAAGCCAAACACAGCATTTAAAATATAAACTGAACAATAAACTCAGCAGAACCCCATGCGTTATCCATAACAGGTATCCACAACAAATCAAGCAAAGGGAAACCAGCTATCAAAGATACCATATAAAACACAATATATAGTATAAAATTTAGTTATTAAAATATTGAGAAAATAAAAAAGGGTTTGCCTGGAGCCAAAAAGAATAAAGAGTTGCCACCAGCCGCACCTCTTTGAGAAGCTGCTTTTGTAGCAAGCAGTGTTTCTGTTGAGTCAGACTAGTGATTTATCTAGCTTCAACACTGAATGGCAGCAGCTGACCAGGGTTTCAGGCAGGGTTTCTTTCCAAACCAGCCTAGAGATGCTGGGATTGAACATGGGCCCTTCATCATCCTGTGTGGGTGCTCATGCTCCTCTGTTCTTTTTTCAGAGCACCTGATCTTATTTTGTAGGTCAGCATTTATCTACCTGTGCTGAAGACCATGAAGAGTGTCGTGGAGAGGATGAAAAACCTCAGCAATTCTATCGTAAGTTGTTCCATTCTTAATATAAGGCTGGGGAGAGAACTGGGACCTGAGTTTCAGTGTGAACACTGTAGATCCCCAGGTAAGCAAGACAGGCCACTGGTTATGCAACTGGCAAGTGTGTGCATGCTTTTTAAAAGAGCTGCTAGCAGGTATGAGGTCCAATCTGGATTGGAGATTTGGTGAGAGGTCAGGGGTTTCAGCCCTTTGCTACCCACTGGGGCTCGAGTTGGATCGGACTATCCCCACCTGCAGTTTATTTCTGTAGCTGCATCCAGAGGTATGTTTTCAGGATCAGAAATGCAACTGACATTTCTGCCAGTCCTACAAAACTGAGTTGGTGGAATATATTCAATAATTGTGAAAAACAGTGATTGATTTGCTTTTATTGTAGGTAATAGAAGCAAATCTCAATGGAGAAATGAACTTGAAAATAGAAACTGATCTTGTGTGTGTTACAACTCACTTTAAAGATCTTGGGAATCCTCCCTGGAGTAAGTATTTTTCTTTTTCCTGTTAGATAAGAGGCTTTAACAAATGCAATTATTATAATATTAAATTAAATAGTACAGTACAGCATGAAAGTTACAGTCCTATGCCACTTACCTGTGAGTATACCCAGTAAGACTTAGTTCTAAGTAACCATGCTTAGGATAGCAATAAGCACACCGTTAGAACAATGGCATAAGGAATCGCATAATGTTGTCAGTTTAAAAGCAAACTAGGCTGGGTTGCTCTTTAGTAGTTTCTCTTTTTTTGCTCCTCTTGGCTTCAAAGTGTAAGGTAGGTAAAGGTTCCCTCATGACATTTAAGTCCAGTCGTATTCAACTCTAGGGGGCAGTGCTCATCTCCATTTCTTAGCCAAGGGAGCTAGCATTTGTCTGCAGTTTCCGTGGTCACGTGGCCAGCATGACTAAATGCCGAGGCGATGGAATGCTGTAGCCTTTCCACCAAGTGGTACCTATTTTATCTGTTCGCATTTGCATGCTCTTGAACTACTTGGTTGGCAGGAGCTGGGGCAAAGCAGTGGGCACTCACGGATTCAAACTGCTGACCTTTCAATCAACAAGCCCAGTGACTCGGCAGTTTAAACCACAGTGCCACCCACACCCCAAGTGTAAGGAAGGAAATGCAAATCCACAGATCAAGTAACTGAATACCATAGTCACTTTGAATAAAACAATGCGGAATTAAATAGCTGTAGTTTGCAGCTCCAAGAGTTCTAGGCTCCCTTCCAGAACTGCCATGACTGCAACTGTATGTCAAAATCAGTACTCCTAGCCTGCCTTCTGAAAATTTCAGCAGACTTGTTTACATTACTGGCTTTCAGTCATGATTCCCATCTGTAAAATGAGAGCACAAGCTTGTTGTGACAAAGAAGACTAGTACAGTCTACGTATTTGCTGCCTGATCACATTCATGCTTGTTTGGGAATAAGGCAGGCCACAGTTGCGCTCCTGTCCTGCTTATGGGTTCCTGTGGGCATCTGGTTGGCTATAGTGGGAACAGAATGCTGGGCCAGATGGACTCCCTGGCATGATCCGGCAAAGCTCTTCTTCTGGACTGGGCACCTATTACAAATTTCAAAATGTTGCAGCAATTCTTTGCAAGAAATCTTAGCATGGTGGCTGTACTTAACTGAAAATGTCCTCTTTGTGCATTTTAGTGTCCAAGGATGGCTCTCAGAACTCCACTCAAGAAAGGGACCCTGAAAGCATGGCTGAGGCCTGCATCGACATTAAGAAACTCCTCCAGTTTCTCGCTGGGCAGCAAGTGAATCCTACAAAAGCCCTGTGTAGTAAGTGTTCCTTTGGGCTTGGCCTTCCGGCAACTTCAGTCTTTATGTCCGATTTTAGACTGCCAAATAACCAAGAGAACCATCAATAGAGTAGCATAAGGCAAGCTTGCCTTGCACCACACTTGAAGCTATTTGCTACACAGCTCCTTGGGCCAGTTTCATCATCTTTACCTGCAATAACAAAATGGGTGTCTTGTCCAAAGCTGTCACAGTATTTCCAACCAAGTGTATGAGAAGTGCATTCCTGCCTGATTCTGGGATACTGCTTTTGGATATATTTTTTTTAGGTGCTCCGCTCCTCTGCTGACCAAGAACAGGGAGTTGGACTTACTGAGGAGTGTTCTGCTCAGTGGGGAATATGGATCCTTCTGGGTTTTATTGCACGTGTGGGTTCTCTATTGTTGGAGGGGGCTCCCTTCATGTTCTGGCAGATTGCATTTCTGCAGTAACCCTACATGAATCAGGAATACCTAATTAGCTGGTCAGGAGTTCCTTTGGAATTTCCCTTGCTACCTGTCTACATCAGGGTTAGGGAATGTCTGGCCCTCCAGTTGTTGGTGGACTGCCACTCCCGGCCACATCTGGAAAGTGACACAGTCCCCATCACCTGTCGTCTTGTTCTACACTGTGAGTGGTTTGGAAATTTTATTTTGGCTGAGTAATGCTGCGAATTGTAAGAATACCTACGCATGAATAGGATTGACCTAATGTTCTCCTGGTTTGGCACCTCCTGCTAAGCAAGAGCAAAGTTAACCCTTTCCTGCTTGCTGTGGGCCTTGCTGCCAGACCACTTTACAGTAAATCCAACTTTCTGTTATGTGCCCTGTGCCACCCTCTCAAATATGGGCTTTTGTTTTGCAGATATGGTAAGCAAGCGGATCGTTCACTTCGTCTTGCTCCATGATGATGTTTCCCTTCAGTATTTCATTCCAGCCCTTGTATGAATCGAATCGTCACCTCCACCCCGCTCAGTTATTCTCCCTGCCAACATGTTTTCTCAAGATAATGAAACAGATACGAAAATGAAGGAGAAGGATTTGGTTACAATTTTATTAATCCACTTTATAACCCATTTTTGAATACAGAAATGTATATATTTATTACCACCTTATTTTATGGTGAATAGAATTTAAGTTAAAATCTTTATGTTTTTGGACTATATATTTTATTAAAGAAATAATCTCTTGGCTTTTTAATCATTCTCTTCTTACATCTGGAAAAATAACTGCACTTCATTTCTTACTAGTTTGGTGACTCTTCAAACTGATACCAGAAAGCAGAACAACCAGCATTAATTGCACATAAGTCTTGCAGTGACAGCTTAGAGCAGAGTCATGTGACAAACAGGGACAGAACAAATGGTTGTCATGAACAGCCCCATGATGATCACTGAGTTGCTACCTTTCTCATGCTTGCCTCAGGAAGCCTGAGAGTGGTAAATCTGCTCCCGGGAGCTCTGTGCAGCAGGTTATCCCATGATTTTAGAGATGAAGGCTGTAGGTCTTACCCAGAAGACTAAAGTTTAAAGATAGGAATATAGAATATCAGGTCTAGGGGCCAAACCTGAACCTCTGGAATTTTCCCTATGGTCCTAGCTCTGTCTCCCAGCTCCAATCATCCAGTGAGTTGTTGGCTGTTGTGTCTTTTTTCCCTCCATTCTAGAGGGTGGAAACACCTCTCCTAAGGCTTATTTACCAGCAGTAAGAGCTGGTGTTTTGGCCACACCCCATTTTGCTCCAATCACCATGAGAATGCTGCCCCCCCAAGAACTTTTCCAAAATGGAATGCAGCAATCAGGCAAATTGAAGTTTTGCATCCCCATTCAAAGGAAAGGACAGTCCATTCCCAGTCCTTGGTCAGCAGAATGACAAGCTGAGCTCTTACCTATAAACACTTCTCTGCACTCCCTTTTGTATATGTGTCTGAGGGCAGGCCTGTGGCACTCTACAAGTAATTGAAAGGTGGTCACAAAGAGGAAGGGCAGGGTCTCTTCCCAATCACCCCAGAGTGCCGGATATGGAATAATGAGCTCAAGCCAGATTCCAATTACATATCAGGAAACCTTTCCTGACTGTGAGAGCAGTACAACCATGGAATCAATTGCCTAGGGAGGTTGTGGGCTCTCCCACACTAGAAGCAACTGGACAACCACCTGAGAGGGATGGATTAACCTGCACTGAGTAGGAGGTTGGACCCTCTGGCCCCTTCCAACTCTATGTTTCTATTAATTTTGTTTATCTACTGTTGGTTAATATAGGTGCAATAACAAAGTTCATCTTATCAGTAAGGCTGAGAGGCAGACTTGGTCAAAGTCACTGAATGGCTTTCATACCCAATGAAGGATTTGAACTTGAGTTTCCTGCATCCAGCTGCAACACTCCAGTTCCTAAATTGCAGGAATCACAACCATGTATAGACATTCAGGTTAACTGCAAAAAAGCCCAGAATAGTTTAATTGCTATTTGAGAGAAAGTAAACTGTAGCTCCAACATCATTTAGAAGTGTGAACTGTTGTCCCATTCACCCAAATTATCAAATTATTGGATACTTGATGGATTTGAAAGGATCATGACTGAGGTGGTAACAGGACCTGAAAAGTGGATTTTCAATTTGTTTAGACCAGGAGGTACACCATAAGCAAATCTAAAGGTTTATCTTTTTAACCTAATTTTGAGCAACTGCTTCATGTATTCATCAAGAGATCTCTGGCCTGGGTGTTAGATGGTTGCTTACTTGGTGGGCTTATCCTAAAAGACACCTTATAAATCTTTCCCACTTTCTGTGGGAGGAAGTTATAGGCAACACACATTAGGAATCTCTTGGAGGAGAAATGTTTGGCAAAATTTGTCTCCCAACAGCTATCAGGGAAATTAAAAGTCTCCCATAACGACTGCATCATGCCTCCTTGAAACACTGGCAACTTGCTTTTCAAAAGTATCATCCTCTCCTTGACTGGGTGGTCAGCAATAGACTCCAACAACTGTGTTCCTATTTTTATATCAGCTTTTATCTCAACCTTCAGCTTTAACTATTGGGTCGTGTAGAAATGTAATAAATATATTTGCCACCCTCCAATTTGTGTTTTGGACTACAACTCGCAGCACTCCTAACCATTAGCCATGCTTTCTGCAGCCGATGGGAGATGAAGTCCAGGTTGGAGACTATCATTCACATAATGTATAACTACATCCTTTACAATCAACCTGCTATGCAAAGAAATTGTCAGAAGCCCCTGAATGTGAATCCAAAACCACTTGAATCTAGCTCTACATAAAAATTATTCAAAAGGTTTAAGGATTGCCACGCTGGATTAGATCATCAGTCCGTCTAGTCTGCTATTGTTGGGAATGAGAAGGATGGCTGTTTTGGGTGCTCATTCTCATGGACTGCTGACTGGATTTCAGAAGAACTAGAATTGGAATACTGAGCACAGCAGATCAAAGGGGAGTTGGAGAGGATGGGCCTTGCAGAGACACCGAGATGAGGGAGGTGGACATGCTTATCTCAAGGCCAGACTCCCCAGCATGACAAGCAGCGCCAGGGAATAATCCAGATTTCTGCCACTGGGAGGGGGCTCTGAGAACGTGTGTTTCTTGGGTGCATGCCCGGCAGCCCCGGCTCTTGACCCCATCAGCAGAGGCAGGCCACCCAACTGGAGAATCAGTGCACAGAGAGGAGGCATGCTCCCTTCCAGAAAGCACCTGCCAAAGGGATGGGGCCTGGGCATGTTCACAAGGAAAGTATCTGGAGGTGAATACCAGATTGGGTTCAGTAAATTGGGGTGATTTGTGTTTTTGGGTCAATAAAAAGTGCTTTGCAAGGAAAATAATCTGTGGCTTTCAAATGCTCAAAGGAGGAACCCTGATCTTGTCTCCAACATCCACCCAGGTGCCTTCAGGAACTTGCATGAAATCTTGTTTCATAGCCAGACTATTCCACCTCTACATGTGGAGAATCCATCCTGATTGCCTACATATGTGCTTAGCCAAATTCCTTTCCAGTGGGTGTTTTAAAACTATAATCAATCTTAAGAATATTCCACAGAAGTGGATGCTTTCAAAACCAATGAACTGAATATAGATCCAATAGGTGGTGCTAGAGGAAAGAAAACATATTTCATTATTAAGGCTTCAGCAAAAGAAGCAATGAGGACTTGAATAGTTTTCTCTTTATTTTTGGCCTTTTGTGCTGTTTCATAAAAAACTGGTTTAATAAGATTTGATATGATGGGAGGGGGACACATGTGGATTGAACACATGTTCTGTATGCAGATCCTAGGCTCAATCCTCAGCCTCTCCTAGCAGAGCTGGAAATATCCCTGCAGTGGAGAAATGCTACCAGTTGCATCCACAGTCCCACGCTAGAGAAACCAGAGGTTTGACTTCATATAAGGCACCTATACTTTCTAAGTACAGTTACTGAAGTGTCAGACCAATCAAGCTGTTTTCACTGTTGACTCATTCATAGATGCCATTGGTAGACTGGGAGCCACTTCCCTTGGTAAGATTTTGAACTGTTGGAGTATGTGCATGAATATGGTCTGGAACCACATTGAAAAGGGGTAGCAGGGAAAAGAACACGGTTCTTTTCTGATACGGGAAGTCAACACCAGGTAGCCTGGTACGCACTGGTGAACACTGGTGAAAATGTTCACGCTGAGTAGCCAGGCCGAAATAAGCAGTTTTACAAGACCTCTCTCTCTCTCTCTCTCTCTCTCTCTGATATGATAAGTGGGGATGTTGTGCTGCGCCCGTCTTTCCTGCAGGAGCGCGCCCATGATCACGCATATCTTCCCTGCACGAATGCAACTGCGATCGTGGCCATCTCCCCACTCGGGGGGTGGGGTGGGGTGGAGAGATGGCCATGATCATGCTGTTTGTGGGGGGAGAGATGGCCGAGATTGCGCTCGTCTTTCCTGCAGGAGCACGCCTGTGCCAGGATTTCTTTGAGAAGCACCACCCCAACATAATTGTAACAAACAGAATGTTGAATCTGATGAACCATAACGTGGTCTCTCATTTCTGGAGGATTATGCAGCCCAGGAAAAAACAAGTGACTATAGACAGATTTTTCACCAAAATTGACCCTGCAGCTAAGAGACAAAGAAGAGAGGAAACCCCTGAAAGAGATCTCCCCAGTGTCCTTATGGAGGGGGACTCTCCCTCAAAACAATAACCTCCCCCCGCCCCACCTAGGTTAGTGTTCTCCACTGCACTGTATTTCCCCCAGAGCCAACGTTTTACAACGCTATAGACAGGCAAGGCAATATGGCCGGGTGTGTGCATGTGAACTTTACCAACTGCTCTTGTACCTGCCATACTTGTCCTTACATAGTTTTAGAGGAGTACAATAACAATCACTGTTTTCAGGTATTTTCCCCCTTTATGTTTGTTGTAACAGTGTATTTGAATATATTAGTAAATATTGCTTTCTATTTCTGGTTGGAAATATCCACAGCACAAGCTTCATTCCACTTCCATTGAGTTCTCTGGACGCCCTCCCCCCCTTTTTTTTCTGGTCATCAGCTGAATTAACACACTATGCAAGCTCAAGATCTTTTGTTTCTGATTCATATGTAATAGCATGGGGTTTTTGCTGTCCCTCTTAACACATGTTTTTAAAAATGTCTTATTTGAAAATAGAGGGAGACAACAGAGCCATTTCACTTATTTTCTCATATTTCATGTTTTACCAAATTTAAACAAATCTTTCCCTTGTATTCCTGTTTAAGCAGATGTTTACAACTGTTCTTTATAAAACAATGCAATGTTTGTACAAATTTTGTTTTCATTATCCTTGAGTTATATATATCCTATCCTTATAGACCCCCTTTTGTCTGCCTGACCTACATTTAATGGGAACAAAATTGGTTTCATTTCAAATTATCTGTATCTATATATACGGATCCACAAAGAGGTGTGTGTAGCAGAGAGATCAGTCCTAAGGGAAAATGAATTCAATGAAAGAGGCAGCAAGATTGTCACAGGTTTTGTTTGTTTGTGAATCATCCACTGTCACTGGTGTTGCAAGTGCAATTCACAGTCAGAAACCCACAGCAAGTGAAAACATAACCATGAGGTTGTAATGACAATTCTGTGCCACAGTGCAATTTGTACATTTTTCTCCTGAGGAAAAGTACTTTCAGGCTCAGAAGAACCAAGGTGTTAGCAGCTGTTCCTTTCTCACTTTGCATTTT